GACTGACAGTATAATTTCTAAATGATAATTGTTCCTAATATTAATACCAATTTTGTTAACTATACCGTAATTTTAATTTATTTATGTATAATTTGTTAATTAATAATAATATTTGATCTTTTTGTTTTTGTTCGTATTTTAAATTATATCAAAATGCTAGTATTCTTTTTGTAATGTATTGTGATTCTGTAATGCTAGTTTTTAATTTTTTGTATTAAAATTATATATTTCCTTGCTGTGCCCGACAGGGTCCACAATGATCTGTATTATTCTATGTTACCACCTAAGTAAAACATTGTGGAACACAATAAAGAATTTAAATTTTATAATTTACAGAACTAGGTCTCTCTGTTACAACAATACAAGTATATTCAAATCAAACTAAAACTCTTTTCCTACATAAAAAGAAAATGGTCACTACGGGTAGCCTAAAAAAAGGAAAAGCTGTACTTACTCCTCGTAGCCTTGACCTCTATAGCCTGTAGAATGTAGCCTGTAGCCTCTGTACGCAACCGGGAATACGAAGCCACGGTATGAATAATTCATTTAGTACGCCAACTCCATCCATTTATTATGTGCAACTTAATTCCTGCCATGTTTTAACTTTGTGTGTAGTAATATTCATCATTTTGTAGCCATCTTGTTGGTTAAATGTGATTGTTCTGTTTTGGTTATGTAGATGATAAACTGTTGGAGATTTTGTTCGCGTTTTTGTTTTTGTTTGATACATACATAACATCACGCTTTTTATCCCCGAAGGGGTAGGAAGAGGTGCACATTATGTCACTACAATGTCACACCCACTTTTCACTATTTATGTTATGAGTCCCATGTAATAGGGGCTGAGCCTATTGCCATATACCGGACACAATTCCAGACACCGTGCTCCTACTAAATTAAAAAAAAAAACCCTGTTATACTTTGCCGGACCCGGGAATTGAACCCAAGACCCGTCGCTCTTGCGACCACTCAGCCAATGAAGTAGTTTTTGTTTGAATGCGTGTGAAAGGAAGAAGAAAGGAGTTTGTAAGTTGTTTTAGTGTAAGATGGAATCTGTTTTTACCCTATTAAAGGAAGGGTCGGGATATATATAAGACGGGAATATTTAATTCAAAAATAATATTATTGGGTTTCGACTATTACATAACTTGTTTTGTTACATTGTTATTTTTTTAAATTCGATTTTTAATTTTTTTGTTTTTGGTTTTCTTTTTATGTATTCTGTTTTGTGTTTTATAGCGCAATTAACTGTTTTTTTGTCGTTTCTTTTCCTTCAGATTTTTGATGATTACTAATAGATAAAGGAGAGTAGAGAGTTAAAACAACCAAACACACATTTATGTATGTATAAAGTATAGAATTTGAATAGATAAGAACGAGCAAGAAACTTCAAAGTATGCGTTTTAAAAAAAATCCATAGGTTCACCTTATATATTTCGTTCGTCAGAAAGTAAAACGAAGTTTGTACTCTATTTCCATTCACTGGGCCTTTCATCTCACACGATTGGTTGGCCTTTCGCGTGTAAATTGAAATAGGCTTTCTGATTGGATGCAGTGGTCAATATCGGTTGCCTTTTATTTAAGTAAATGGCTTTCTGACAACACTGAGCTGCGTATTATCGGAACACGAAATCGACTTTTGAATTTGAAAATGGAATTAAGCGGCGCGGAAATTTTGGGTGGTTTCCTGTTTGAGCACATATTTCTTTGGCCTATATCTATTATTATTTAAAAAAAAATTAGGAAAGGTCGGCATAAAAGAACATATAAGTAAACAAAAACATTGTTAAAATTAAAAAAAAAAAAATCGAATTTCGCGCCTTATGACGCCAACTCACACTTGCAACTTTTTTTTTCTAACTCCCGCCTTTTCTTATGTCTGTAAAACATAACGAGTATCGGTACAATAAAGATTTATTGTAATTAAACCAGTCGATACGCCTTTAATTTACCAAACATTTGAACATGTAACAGCCTAGAACAGAAAATCTGATACACATTCTAAGATTCAGTTTCAATTAAGACAGGCAGACGGGATTAGTTAATAACACTAATTAGCACAGATATCTTATCCTTTTGAAAATGAACACTCTATTCTCTAATTTACAACATTATGATTAAGCTTATTTAACTGAGAAACCTTCGAGAGAAAATATATTTAGATAATGTTGTGGCAGTGTATCAAGGTATATTGTTTTAATTATTTTATGGTGTTTTGATCGTATTTCCTTCGAGGACTTAAAATTTTGTGTGTATTCAGTTTTTGGCTGACTTCACAGTTGGTTTAGTGTTGATTGCACAGTTGGCGCGGTGGCTGGGCAACTGGCTGCAGTGCAGTGTGTCACTGGTTCGCTTCTCTCACGGAACAACTTGTAGCCACACTCGCCATAGCACAAGCTACAAGGATTTAGACCATCGTTTAACAGAAACCAAGAAGCAGACAGCTCTGAAAAGAGCTATTTTATTCATTCGTTCTACGACAACCAGTTGTTTCACTAATAACAACAAGATCTCCAAAGTGGTGACCCCGACGTGATCGGAGCACTTTGGAGATCTTATGCTATGGCTAGTGTGGCTACAAACTCTTTGTGTTTTGTTCATCCATTAATTGTTTCGAGTCTGTGTGTTATGTATATTTGTAAACGCATCCACAATACAAGAGAAACTTCTAGTGTGGGGCAAAGTTTTATTAAAAAAGTCAGTTTTTTGTATGACTATAAACGCTGATTAATTGGATGATGTAAAAGCTTGTCGTGTGGTTAGATATACCGAAGTATGTTTTATTTTTTTTATTTTATTATTATACTAAAGGTCAGTGTTGTACTGTTCATAGTAAAGCCTGTCGTTTGCTAATTGATTCCCAGCCTAAGCAAAACGCCTTAGGGCCTGACAGTGACCTCTCCTTTCTTGTCATTTTCTTAAATTCAACTTTTCCCATCGCTATTATAAACGCTATTCCATTTAAAAAAATCTTTTACTGTCTAATTTCTTAAGATAAAAAAAATAAAACAATTTTCTACACATTCAGTCTTAGTGATCCTTATCCGGGTTTATCCAACCGCGCTCAAGGACCATTATTTCCTTAATACATATTTTTATTAATAAATATTAATTAGTGGGGTTCCACGTGTAACGATAATCTTACCGACTTTGTAAGAGTTGTTTTCCTTCGAGGTCTTATTAACTCGTCGAGTACCGGTTTTATAGACACAATTAAAGAACAATAGGTCGCGGTCACCGGTGACCGCTTGGTGTTTGACAGTTTAATAAGATGAATATTTAAATTTTTGACTAGCTTCTGCCCGCAACTTCGTACCTGCAATCCTATTTTCTCCCGTTCCCGTAAGATTTTCAGGATTTTTTTAAGTTATAAGAATCTTCTCCTAAGAATAACAAATACAACAAAAAAAGAATTAGTGAAATCGGTCCAACCATTCACGCGTGATGCCGTGATCAAGGGAAAAAGGGATTCATTTTCATATATAGTATATAAGATTATGACATTTAGGTTGACATTTCCTAAATGATTAGCGTTCATAATCAAATGAAACAGTTACTCAAGAAAGTAAATGTATAAGAAGTAATTAGGACTTTAGGAAGCTGAGCAATGGATTCTCGATTTAAGTATATACATATACTATGTATGTAGCCTATTTTGTAAAGTACAATCGACAAAGTTGGCTGTCCACCATCATTAGGCGATATTCGCATGCACTCGCGCGAGCGACTACAGGGAAGATGTCAGGTGGATAGCGAGTATGGCCCAGTTTTGTTAAAGAAGTGTACTGTCGTAAATTTTGTTAATAGTACTTAAATGCAATAGAATTTAAAGTGTTTGAAATAACCGAAGATTTAACATTTAAATTACTCATATCTAATTTTTATTTACTTTCAGTTGAAAACGTTTGATAATCTCAAATATTATACAGTTATTGAGGTAATAATTATTATGTATGTTATTAGTATAGTTACATATTGCCGAGATTGTCTAAATACCAAGCAAAGTTACACAAGCAAGGTTACACAAGGGCACGGTTGGATCAATCAACTGTCTACGAATTTATTGGCAATTTTAAACGCTTTAATGTTCGTCAATTTGAAGTCTTTTGAGAGCTTAAATTAGAATCTGCGTAATGCAGTCTACAATACATTTTTCCTGACCGTTGAATTTTTACTTCGATTTTTTTTAATAACACTACTTAACGTCAAAATTCGGTTTTTATACATATTATGTACACGTAAAAATAAAAATTAATTGTCTACAAATTATTTTCGTCTACGTGTTCTTGAAATTCGAAACAAATAAGATCCATATTAAATTAACTAAAAATCGCAAGTTACTCACGTGAAAATACTGAGAAAATCTCTACTAGTTTCGTCGCGTCGGCCATGTCGCGCAGCCTACTGCGCTCGCTGCTCATGAGGAAGAATCCCTCTGTGGTTCGAAACTAGTAGAGCTTTCCTCAGTATCTTCACGTGAGTAACCCGCGGTTTTTAGTCAATTTAGTATGTCTCACGATAGTTATTTTAAACTGTCAAACACCGCGAGGGCACCGGTGTCTGTACACCTGTTCTTTATATGTGTCTATAATGACGGTACTCAAAGGGTTAAAAACGAGATCTATATTTTTTTATTTAATGGCATGAAACACAAAGAAAGCAGATTGTCTAAACTTCATTCTGTCGATAGCAGCAACTCCTATAAAACTCTATTGGAGTTGAATTAAAACTCTTCCTCTACAACTCTTGATATCAAAGTTATGATGAAAGCTGCCGACATAAACTTACGCAACTAAGTGCCTCTTGAAACTTACTAGTTGCAGACATTTCACAACTTACAACTCAATCGTAGACTAACTCGCCGGCTCGACCGGAGTGATACCACGGCCTCACAGAAAACCGACGTGAAGCAACGTCTCCGTTGTGTTTCGTCGTGTGACCGGTCACCGGAGGTCCAGCTCCCTCCCCTTCCCCAGTCTCCCCAATCCCCGAATCCCCAACAAAAGGCCGGTAACGCACTTGTAACGCTTCTGGTGTTCCAAGTGTCCATGGGCGACGCCGCCGCGCCGATTGCTTACCATCACGTGATCCGTCTGCTTGTTTACGGCATATGCCATAAAAAACTTAAATAAAATTCACATTTAATATAATTCTGTTACAAATTACGACTAGTTCGATAAAACGCGGTAGAAAATTTCGGAAATTAACATAATATAACATCACGCCTTTTATCCCCGAAAGGGTAGACAGAGATGCATATTATGCCACTGTACAATGTAACACCCACTTTTCACTATTTATGTTATGAGTCCTATGTAACTCCTGTTACATGGACGGTATATGGCAATAGGCTCACCAGGAGGTGAGCCTAATTCAGACTCCGTGCTACTACTGTCAATTTTTTTAAAAACCCAGTAATACTTTGCCCTACTCGAGAATCGAACTCGAGACCCCTTGCCCGGCAGTCGCACTTGCTTATATCGGAAATTAATTAAGTGTTATTTTCTTTTTGAGAATATTATCTTACTAATATTAGTATTATAAATGTGAAAGTATGTGTGTTTGTGTGTATGTTTGTTAAACTTTCACGTCAAAACGACTGAGGGGAAGGGGACGTGATGAAATTTGTGAATCATAGGCTGGAATAAAGTTTAAGCTACTTTTTATCCCACGAGATCGTGAGTAATGTCGCTGATAGAAGCTTGTAACAGCTTGTTACATAAGTATTTCGAATGATTGAGGATAATAAATGTGTGGCGACACATGTCACAAGTCAACGGATGACGTCATAATATCCTACATCGCACATGCGAAGTTTACATTCGATTTAACACGGATAGAAAATCCCAACGAACAACTATTGGGCAGAAAGCCCGCCAGGCACGATAACCTCGCCTGGTCGGATGATCCTCCTTTTCCGATCTTAGGGAACTTTACTCTCTGTTCCCTAAAAATGAAAAAAGTGGTGAATGAACAATACATATGTTACACGTGGTCAATTGAAAGCTGTGACAGCTTTCATATATCTAAATCGGAAAACGTGATATGATAACACTTATCCATACAAACCACGAGATATCAAACTTGATATACCTTATTTAAACAGCATACTAAATATTTGTAATATTGCTACGCTCGCTACGTCGTAGCTACTACGGGCTACGGCGTAGCGTAACCTCGAAACCATTTTAAACTGGTAGTAATTTATTATCTTTACCTCAATTTATAACATAAAATTATACTTTTTAATCCCCGAAGGTATCTTTCACTTACCTACTGGCACTAGATATACATATACCTCTCTAAATAGGATGCTACTGAATGCGATCTACAGCTCTTCGCATCCAGCCACCACTTCACATAGCTGGAGGGCGTCCTGTTGTCTTCTAGTTTTCTGATTAATGGGACTGAACCACTGCCACTCGGCTTGATGCTACCTTTTAAAGATAAAGATAAAGATATATTTATTTAGTAAAACATGAGTAATTATAATGAAGGTGTTTTTTTGGATAGTACAGAGTCTACATGTTTTGCCATTTATGGCGTACTAAATCAATCACTTTAGGCAGATAATACCAATCTATAATCAATAAATACAAAATCAAATGTCAAAGTTTGAATAAAAAAAAAATTAATTATAATGTAAATGAATAACAATAAAAATCATAATTCAAAAATCACAAGTGAAACAGTTTAAATTATGTCAATTGGTGAACAAAATAATATGTCAAAATTAATAAACAAATCATTCAAATTTTGTATCATTTACTCAATTGTAAAGAAAAGAAAAGGCAGAAACAGCTTATTAAAAGAGAATTAAAATGTATAATGGTAAACGAGAGCTTATTTCGCTATTGTAGGTAATTGGTACTCACAATTATGGCTGTGAAAAGTTGCAGGACTTGTTTAATTGCATAGAATTTCTCTTCACAAATTGTTCTAGTTAGTTAGTGCTTTTATTCAGGTTAATTAACAATCCAGTAAATTGAGTTTAAATGGTTATTGTGTTAATTGTAAAGGAATTTAATTTTTATTATGGGATAAAACGATGAACGAGTGGGCGGATTACCTGATGGTAAGCATTCGGCGTGCGGTGCACATGGGCACTTGTAACACTAGACGAGTTACAGCGGTAATGGCCAGCCTTTTGGGGGGTTAATGATTTGGAATTCAGGAATTGGGGAGATTAGGGATGGGATAACTAGGTCTCTGGTAACCTTCCTCACACGGTAAAACATAACGCAAGCGTTGTTTCACGCCGGTTTTCTGTGCGGCCGTGGTATCACTCCGTTCGAGCCGGTCTCCGGTGTCCGGTATTTTTAATCGAAAGAACTTAATATTTTTTGAAGAATTTTTGCATATTATAAGCATCGACTGTCTTGGATTTCAATACGAAATTAAGTAAGTACAATATTAAGCTAAGCTCCAGCTTTTTGCGCTGCGACGCACCATGGGCTTTTTGTGTGTAACTGTATTCTTATTGTGTGTCGTGGAGCATAAATGGTTTTTCTTTCTTTCTTACTTTCTTAAATTAATCTGTACACTTTTGATACTTATATTTTTGATAAAACTCGTGGAGAGTAATATAACTTTTAACGTCTTTTATCTCGACACATAATCGAATTGTCTCGTAAATTTGTCACAAAGTGCACGGAATGGCTTTTAAATTAGATTGCTTCCCACATAGTTGCTGTGTGCAGTTAGTTATGGGTATAGACAGTAGCTATATAATATAATGGTACGAGGTCAAGATCCAATCGATATGAGTATGTGTTGACTTTTTAAACGACTTGAAAAAAGAAAGAGGTTCTCCGTTTCACATGTGTACGTATATGTATTTATGTTTGTTTGCAATTATCTCGCTATTGGCTGGCCGATTTTTACACGATACTAGCGACCCGTCCCGGCTTGTACGGGTGCAATATGCATGTATTATACATTTAAACCGTCTAACGGGTAATCGGGCCTCCGGCTCGACGTGCAGGAGAAGGAACGGGGTGGCTTTTAGTCAGTAAGAGTCTGACACTCCCTCCCGCCTCACCCAGGCGGGAACAGTCATTCAATGATTTTCTCTCCTTAAAAAACCCTTCTTTAAAAAACACTAACTACGTAACCGCATCGAAATCCGTTGCGTAGGTTTAAAGATCTAAGCATACATAGGGACAGACAGACGGCGGATAGCGACTTTTTTATACTATGTAGTGATATACTGTTCTGTTTAAAAGTAGCTTAATGAATATTATTTCAAGTAGGTATTTAAAAGGGTTATAAAAGACTTATCATCGTCATAGTTACCAACAGCCTGTGACATGCTGTTGATATACAGGTCTTCTTTACTTAATATGTTAGAGGATTTGTCATAATAATCTCCATTTTAGACTGGCTAGAGGTCGCATTTAAAAAAAGTCGTATTTATCATAAAGGGCAGCTACCTTTAAAATGTCCATTAAACTGTCAAATACCAAGCGGTCACCGGTGACCGCGACCTATTGTTCTTTAATTGTGTCTATAAAACCGGTACTCGACGAGTTAAATAAAAACTATTGCTTATTTTTTACAGATTTTGAGAATAATCCGTAAGATAGTATCTATGTACCTCCAATCTATTTATATATTTGTTCTTAAGTGTACGTACGTCTGTGTGCTGTGCATATATTTATAAATAAAAAAAAACAGTATTAGATACTTTATCAAATGGTTGAATGAACTGAAGTGAACCCCAGCGGTAAAGCAATGATTGTGATCAGAATAAAAATAACATCTCACATGAATACTACTCAAGTTGTCAAAATGTGTTGAAATATTTTTGTGAAGAAGATTGAGTGAACATAATATAACATTATCCATTACGAGCCAAAGGGATTACTCGAGATTTTGTATTATCTGTGACCTTGTTCGTTCAGCAGATTTATTATCTGTGCGATGTTTTGCTATCTATTTTTGGTGGCAACATAAATTATGAAATATGACCGTTATGACCACGCACCATGCAGATTTCGATAAATAGTGTAATTTTTTTAAAGATTGTCTTTTAAAAATATACATGTCCTTTACAAGTTGAACTTCAATAAATAACAACGAGTCTCTTTTGGCAACCGAGTCTTCAAAACGGTGTTGTCGACTATACTGCCAGTGTCAAAATATCGTGATATTTTGACCTTATTTCATTAATTGACACATTGAGAGACACACAGATAAAATAAAAAAGGAGCGCGTTCTATGCTGTCAATATGGCCACAAAAAGTATTCCATTTTTAAATCGTTGGTACGTGTTCACTGTTCAGCCGACACACCATCGACAGTTTGTTTTAGGGACAACGTAAATAAAGCAAAGCGCTTTACTTTTTTATTTTAGCATATGAAACAGAATAGTGTTTGTACTCTTCATATATTTGCGTAAGTTTTGCAACTGCTGTAAAAATATGTTCCTATATTTATTTTGTACAAGTAGCGCGCCCAGGGTTTTCTTGGATGCTATTTCCTGATTTTCATGGTGAATTTATGTTATTAAAGGACACTACTACTTGTCTTTGCAGTAATAATAATTAATAATTTTTAAGTTAGTGAAACCATTCACGAGTTATGTGCGTTTGGAGATGTCACAAGATTTGGAAACAAAATATAATAAAAAAGACAAATAAAAAAGTAATTCTGCGATCTGTACCGTATTTCCTTACAAATTATACCTACATTACTGGAGGAACCATGAATAAAACATGTAAAAATCATATCCTGATTTCAAAAGAAAACGGATAGGTAAGCAATTCTCGAGGAAATTGCTTTGACGGCATGATAATATGAATACGATATACGATACTTTGCAAAATACACAGATAACATATCACAGGAGTCCTTAAGCTGGAAGTATATATGTATAATGATATTGGTGTCGCTATTTGGTAATGTGTGGAGAAGTCATACTGCCAATTTATGTTGCACGGTTGGTGCGGTGGCTGGGCAACCGGCTGCCGTGCAGCATGCCGCGGGTTCGATTCCCGAATGGAACAACACTTTCACACGGCAGTCCAGTTTTTAACAGGATCCCATTTTCTGCAGGATCCCGTTTTAAATTAGGAAAGTA